GAGAGAGAGAGAGAGAGAGAGAGAGAGAGAGAGAGAGAGAGAGAGAGAGAGAGAAGTGTTGGCAGAGTGGAAAGCGCATATAGGAACTTTACATTTTTTTGATTTCTTTATTCTAAATAGTTCACCAGAAAAGTTTGACCCTTAAAGGAGCAGGATGCACCACATAGGTTTCTCTAGTAGTCGAGATGGATCAGAACATGGGTTCTATGCTCCTCATCTTATTGATGTGTGAACGGTAGGATCAACATATGCACTTTCTGGGGTGCAGCTTTGTCTGTGCACAGCCCCTAATTATAAAGCCGTATCATAATTAATATGTGGGTTAGAGGTATGCTTGAAGCTGGTGCTTTGCACACCCTACCCCCATCCCCTGCACCCTACCTCCTGCACCCTGGACCCTGCACTCTTCTCTTGAGGCACAAAAATAACATTGAAAAAGGTTCGGTGCTTTAAAATGAGGCATAGAACCACGACTGGGGATGTAGGTGTGCCTTTGTCCACCTGTGATGGTGTTTGGATAATATTACACACCGTATGTGCCAGGCTATAGAGCCCAGAAACAATGGGGTAAACCAAGAAGCCACCAGGGAGCACTGCACGCTCGGCTTCCCTTGTCTGTCTCACCCAAGGAGTATTGAATGTTTCCTCCCTTCCCTAACATCACTGGTATAACAACAAATGTTGCTTAAAGGGAGTAAAGGGGAACGTTGCTAACTTAATTCATCAGCTTTAGCCCATTCGCTCCATCGCTCCATTGTGGCCCTGTGGCCTGGAAAAGGGAAGTCTATTTAAATCCCACACAGAAGCTGTGCCACGTCCTTCCTTGAGGAAGGTGTCCTTAGACCACCTCTGTGTCCAGCAATGTCCACTACTGCTGAGCTGTGTGACATTAACAGATTTTCTTCTCTTTTCTCTCCTTCCCTCTTTCCTTCCCACCTGACCGCTCTTTCCTCCTTCTGGACAAGACTCTATTCCACAATGGCTCTAGGTCAGTTTGGCTTTCCCCTTCCGGAAGCTCTGTGGAAATTCATCCCGTCGTTCACAGAGGCAGCTGATGTCTCCCAAGCCAACTGAGAGCTGAATGCCTTTCCCTCAGGGCTGATGGTATCTAGTGTCCTCCCTGTGTGAGGGGTGAAGATAGCTTTGTAAGAACACATCTCACGGAGCAGAAAAGCAGGACGCAGACAGTGAGATATCAGTGTGGTATCTAGTGAGACGCCACACACTTAATGAGTCCTGATGTTGTCGTCTGGATTCTTCTAGAAGTGATGTGGAAACAAGGATTCCAATGCAAAGAACGTACTAGGGAGGCAATTCTGGGAAATGTTGTAGGGGAGTATCGTGTGTAGGAGAGGTTTGAAATCCGGTTTGAAAAGTAGGCTATCAGCTAGTCGTAACCATGAGGACTCAGTGTCCTGGGTTCTCTGAGGGACAGTGAGTGAAGAGCAGGCAGGGCTAGGGAAGCTGGGCTTCCACCCACCATTCATCCGAGAATGTGAACACTTCAGCACATCGACATTTGTGAACACTTTAACACATTGACGTTTGCTGCACACTCAGGCCAAGTGTGGCCCGAAGGCCTGCTGTGGTTTGATGTGGTTTGTCCCCAAGGACGCGTGGCTGGTGGGCTGGTGGTAAACGGTGGAACCTTCAAAAGGGGAAGTCCAGTAGGGGAGGTCACTGAAGGCGTGGTCCTGTTGCTGGGTCTCAGCCTGCCTGTCTCCCTGCGTGGTGCTGTAGTCGCACTCCCAGAGCAGTCCTGCCATGTGACAGTGCTGTAGTCGCACTCCCGAAGCAGTCCTGCCATGTGACGTGAGGCTCTCATCAGACCAAACTAATGCCGACACCATGCGCTCACTAAAGACAGCTGTCCTTCGGGAGGAAGAATAAGGCGAGGTGATATCTACCTTTCTCTCGGCGTGTGGTCACCAAAGGGTGTCACAACATGTCAACCTGGTCTCTTTCAGTCTGCTTGGGGGTTTTTGAGGCTCCAAGAATTCCTTCTAAATCTGTAAGGCATGTCTCTTCTCTGGCCCCACTAGGCAGGGGCTGAGATGTGGTGATCACAATACTTCTGCTTTGACTCTACTGGCTTATTGGCTTCCATGCCTAGGAACCCCCTCAAAGAAATGTAGCATTGTCCCCCAGTCTTTGTCACGGACCTGTGGTCCTTCGTCAGGTTCTTGCCTCATGTTTTCGTGTGACTTAACTGACTCTCCCTCACTGAGCCCTGTGAGAGAGTGGGTCCATGTGGGCTTGCTGTGGCATCACCAGGACCCAGCACAGAGCCTGGCATATCAAAAGGATATTTTTGTTGAACTGCCTGCAGAGTTCCAAGGTAGAACAGAGCTCTACATGGTGAGGGAGAGCAAGCTTGCTGGCTTGGCGCTCCCCCCTCCTTCCCCTCCTTTTTTTTTTTGAGACAAGGTTTCTCTGTGTAGCTTTGCACCTTTCCTGGAACTTGCTTTGTAGACCAGGCTGGCCTTGAACTCACAGAGATCCGCCTGCCTCTGCCTCCTGAGTGCTGGGATTAAGGGCATGCGCCACCACTGCCTGGCTTCTCTCATCTTCTTATGGAGTCATCAATACCATTATGAGGATTCATTGCCCATGATGTCATCTAACTCTGTCTCCTGTGATGTTTAATATTGATGGTTGTTTGTTTTTGCTCTTTTGGGGGGCCTGCCACCCAGCTCCCAAATGAATCACACATGGAGGCTTAGTCTTCATTATGAATGTCTGGCCCTAGCTTGGCTTGTTTCTTGCCAGCTTTTCTTAACTTTAAATTAACCTGTCTGTCTTTTGCCTCTGGGCTCTTACCTTTCTCTTTTTTTGCATACCTTTCTTTCTTACTCTGTTCCTGGTTGTGTAGCTGGGTGGCTGGCCCCTGATGTCCTCCTCTTTCTCTGGCTCCTTCCTTCTTTTTCTCCCTGATTTCTCCTGCTGTTTCTTCTCTCTGCCTACCAGCCCTGCCCATCCTTGCTCCTGCCTTGCCATTGGCCATTCAGCTCTTTATTAGACCATCAGGTGATTTAGACAGGCACAGTAACGCAGCTTCACAAAGTTAAACAAATGCAACATAAACAAAAGTAACACACCTTAAAATAATATTCCCCAGCAGATTGTCAACTTGAATCTAGAATCACCTTAGAGGCGCATGTCTATGATGGATTTTCTAGACTGTGTTGATGGAGGTTAACTGAGGTGGAAAGATCACCTTAAATGTGCGTGGCATCATTCCGTGAGCTGTGATCCTGGACTGATTAAAAAGGAGAAAGTGAGCTGAGCTTCATCCTCTCTGCTTCCTGACTGTGGATGCAAAGTGACCAGCTGCTTCAAGCTCCTGTTGTCATGATTTCCCACCATAATAATGGACTGTACCCTCAAACTGTGAACCAAAGCAAACATTCCCTTCTGTAAGCTGTTCCCGGTTGAACATTTTGTCCCAACAAGAAAGGCAGCTAGTGCACATCCCAGGGGAACGCCCCCCCCCCCGGGGGGGGGCCTTGAAAGCCTCCCATGCCTCCACCTTTAGAGCCATCCCACCATTTAGATGTGGCTATGGAGTCTGGGGTGGCCTTGGGACTTGAGTCAATGGGATGTGAGTAGACCTGAAGTGACCCAAGGCCTTAGCAGAGCTAGTCAGGTTGGGCTGACCCTCTTGTGCCTCTGCCGAGTGAAAGGCATGTCTGACCAGCCTGTGGGGCTATGAGGAGGAGGCGTGGGGCAGAGCTCCTCACAGCCCCAGCCAACCCAAGACGTGTAGACAAGAGTGTGACGATACAGGGCCACTGTTGGTGACACTGACGTTTTTGTTCTTTATTCCAACATGGCAGCCTGAGACATCCACCCTTACATTCTTCACCTGAACTAATCAGATGGCCAGGTCATCTTCATAGAGCTTTTGGGATGCTATTTTCTTCACTGTTTCTCCAGGAGAAGAAAGACCACAAACAGACGAGGATTCCACTTAGTTATCCTTAAGTGTATGCATATTCTGTAAGTTCGAACGGTCAGTTTCCTCCGGGTGAAGTTACAGATTGGAGAACGATGGGCCTTAGCGGAATGGAATACCAGGACTGTCTCTGGGTAAGACATTATTATTATTATTATTTTTTATCACAATGCTTTGTTTTGTATCATAGCTTTAGAGCACCATCAGCGTGGCCTAACGTGTTTAAACAGTAAAGCCCCATTCTTTGTACCAGTACCCGCTCACATGTTTATGTTTTATCTACGTCCTAGATTGCACAAGCAGCTCATTGATCCATTTTGTCAGCGTACTTTCATCTGGAAAGCATCAATCAAAGCAATGCCCAAATCTTCACTTTATGATGTCAGAGAATACTGACAGTTCCTTGTCCACCAAGATTAATAGACTACAACTGTAAATCAGAGTCACACAGACTCTCGGGTCCTTTACCGCCATCATGAACAGAATCTCTTCTCCTCCGCTGTGAGCCTAGGCTGCGGGATGGCATTCCCACATCTGCTCGGTCCCTGGGTCCCAGTTTTGGCAACTGTCATTTCTACTGATATAGCCTCTCCTGGACAAACTGAACACACACACGGATCTCAGCTCCTAAGTGTGTGGCCTCAGCTTCGGGTCCAGAGAAGGGCAGCTTTGTGTACTGGTACCCTGAGTATGGCGTGGCTTCTCCTCTTCCCAGTGTCCATGGCTTTAGTGACCCATTGTCTTCACAGCCTCCCTCTCCTCTGCCCGCCTTCTTGAGACCATCAAAGGAGACATTCTTTATATACACCACGTGGCCTCCAGGATAGGTTTGGATGGAACCTCCACTATCTTTTTGACTTTGAAGTCTGGTGACTCAGTCTTGTTTCCTGGTCCTCAGAACACATTCTCCTGTAGGCTGGGCTAGGAGTGACCGTGGAATTGGTCCCAGCTCCGGTGAAGTGTGTGTGTGTGTGTGTGTGTGGTGTGTGTGTGTGTGTGTGTGTGTGGACACCACACAGCTCCATAAACCTGTTCCTCTAAGGGAGCTGCAGAGGAAGCCAGACCAGCATGGGGCATTTTCTCTGAACTTACCTGACCTACTAAAAAGGAGCTTTTCTGGAACTTTCCCAAATGCCACGCCTTACTGGTTCTTCAGGCACCATTTTTCAGTGACAACGGCCACCACTTTCTATGGAAGACCTTTCCCGCCTTGAAGCCATTGAATTGGGTGCATTCGGCAACTTCGGCTCCTACCCCCAAGATAAAGCAGCCAGCCCACCACAGTGCTGGTGGTGTTCCCCAGCTTCCAGATGCCCAGTGTCCTGTCCAGTGGTTACCGTATGGCTCTTACTGTTCCTCATCTGTGCTCTCCAAACTCTCAACTCCCTCGTGGGCTGTGGATTCTCAAGTGCTTCTCAGGCATGCCTTGAGGATGATGGGAAGGTTTCTCACAACCATTCCAAACACTAGCCACCTGCCATCATGCCGGGCACGAGGATGTGGGAGGTGTGCCAAGCAGCCAGGGCCTTGTGGGTGCATGCTGGGTGTCCCTGTTTTCTTTTGTTAGGTGCTCTGGGGGCGAGTGCTGTCCCTCCACCAATGAATGCTTCCAGGTAGCTCTCAGACTGACCTGGGGGACCAGGCAGTGCCCTGGTGGAGGAGGACTAGGCGACTGGGGAGTACCTGAGCCCGTGGAAGATGCCCAGCGGGCCCCTAACGGCAGGAAGTCAGGGCGCATGCTTCAGGGCTCAGAGGCGAGGGCCAAGCTAGCTTAGAGCTAAAAACTACTTTGGTGACTATGGTCCCCAAGAACACACTTGCTGACAGTCTCCCTGTGGATCCACAGTGTTGCTGGCAGGTATCTGTCCTTCCTCTCGGCTGTCTGTCTGGCCAATGCTTCAGAGCACCCTTCAGAATCGTATTTTTAAATTAATTTTTCAATGCAGTATTACTTCCTCTGTGTGTGTGCACATGTGTGTGCACAGATGTGGGTGCTATCGAATACCCATGGAGGTTGGAGGACAACTTTGCGGGATCGGTTCTCTCCTCCTCCCTTGACGTGGGTTTTAGGAGACTGAACTCAGGCCGTCAGGCTTGTGTAGCAGGCTCCTCTATCCACTGAGCCGTCTCACCAGCCCTTAAATGAACTTTTAAAGTCAGCCTACAGAGCAGTGGGCTCCATTACCGCATCTCGGTGCAAAGGTGTGGTGATCCTCTCTTATTGTCTCCCTCCTCACAGCCCTCCCCGTCCCCCTTGTCTCTCTCTTGCTGACCCCCGTTCTCTTCCCAAATGTGACCCCTCTGCATCTTGTCTTCCGTCATTTGAGATCTCTTCCTTCCCTCTCATGGCCCCCTTTCTGTCTCTGTCTGCCTGTCTGTCTCTCTCCCCGCTCTCTTACACACACACGCACACACACACACACACACACACACACACACACACACACACACACGAGAGAGAAAGTGGGATATTTTCTGAATCTTACTTGTTTTGCTTAATGTGATGGTCGCTAGCTCTGCCCCTTTTCCTGTAAATGCCGTAATTTTATTCTTTATGACTAAATAAGATTCCACTACTAGTATGTATATTTTCTTTATCCACAGAGTCATATTTTTAAATATAAAAAGTCCAAAGAAACCAATGATATTAAAATACAGCAATGAACATGTCTTTAAAAAAACACGTCTGTGATAATAGTTATATACTTCTTTGAAGGCACATTGAATAGCAAGATTTGATGGCAAGCTTGACGTGTGTGATTGACGAAATGATGACGACTGTAAACAGTATTCACAATGGGTCACCGTGTGAAAATATCAGCAGTTCTGAACAGTGAGAAAGGCACAGTGATATGAAGGACTCGCTTGCATCTGAATTAAAATTTTCAGTTAGAGATGAAGATAAATATGAGATCTCTCAGTCTGAGGAGCCTAGGTTCAGCATGCTCCCCATGAGCAAGGCACAGACCCACGGGAAGCCTGGGTTCCAGGGTACGAGTTACAGACCTGGGTCTGTACATATATCGCTGTACATATGTGGGAATATGTCTGTCACCTTGGGTCTCTTTATCTGCTGGTCAAAAAGTTCAGTTGTGGCAGCTACTTAGCTGGTTGCATCAAAAGCTGTGTGTGTGTGTGTGTGTGTGTGTGTGTGTGTGTGTGTGTGTGTGTGTGTGTTCTTTAGTCTTCATTACCAGGGAACACTTACTCTGTGAGCGTTGAGAAAGACTAAAAACTGAATCACCCTTTCAAGCATCGCCTACCACCTTTCTACCGAAATGTTTGAGTTAATTGCTGATGCCTCCACCCCCTTGCTCTAAGCCTATGTTGTAGGCATACAATGAATTCCAGGGAAGCCCTCACTCTCGCTGGCTTAAAAAAAAAAAAAAATCTGGGAGGGAGTTGTAAAATTCTTGGCACCAAAGAAAGAAATGCTGTGCTTAATTGCTGGGCTCAGGCTTGGCTGACAGACTCTTACCTGTCTCCGCGTTGTCTCAGGCCCAAAGTCACCCGCTAAACGTGTTTTCTCAAACACGGGCTGATAAGTTAGCTTCCGGATCCCCCAGCTAATTAGGCATCATGAGTTGAAGCTAATTTGGTGGAAAACATTTCTCAACTTAATGACATTTATGGGCAATTAGGCAGTTCTGGAGGGCGGCAGGCACGCACGTTTCAGCCTCTTTCCAGCGCTTAACAAGGATCCCCTCTTCCCTGGATGAAGATTTCTCATTCTCTGAGGAATATGTTCGATACAGACACCGCGGGTCTCCTTGTTATGCCAGAAACCAGCAGTCATTTGCACGAAAGGAGCTACCTCGCAGTAATGAGGTGCAGCCGGAGGTAAAATTACATTTGGCGGAGGCTTCTGTGTCCTGCAGCCGGCGACTCCGGGCGAGGATTCCTGAGCTGCGTGCCCGGCTGCAGAATCACATCGTGGATCAATTGCCCCAGACACACGCTTTGTAGCCTGTGGTTAGAAACGACTTCTTTCTTCAGTGCCAACATAGCTGAAGGTCTAGCAGGTAGCGTCCTTCCCTTCATAACGGTATACTACTGCTGCTGGGAGCGTTCTGTAGGCCGGCAAAATGTTCCCAGCGTGCCCTGTGGTCATGATGTGCTGCTGACAGCTTCTCTTGTATACTCAGCACATGGCGGCCCAGTCTGCGGTCAGCTGGGGAGGAGAGGAGAGGGTGTCTCCTGTCCTTCCATCTTCGCTCAGCAGTTCAGACAGCATCCCACCCACCCTCTTCTGACTTACCCAGCATCCATTTCTGCAAGGCAATCCTTGACTCTGCCTCTGTCTCCTCTCTGGGAGTGTGTTAACCAAACTCATGAGAAATTTGTCTCCCTGTGGAAAGGGAGGACGGTGTTTATGTGCGTGCCCGCGTGCACAAACTTGAAGCTAATTAATGCTGAGTCTTCCTCCTAGCTGACTGCCACCGATGGCTGAAAGAATTAAGACTGACATAGACTGTCCCTGTTCAGCAATTCCAAAGCAACACAGCCAGCCAGAAGCTACCAATCAAGACATCTTATTGTTATCCAGATCTCCAGCCCAAGATGCAGCAGACTAGACCCTTCGTGATAGTTTGTCTTTTTTCCTTTGATTCGTGAAGTCAATTCCTACTTAATAGGAACTGTAACCTCAAGTTTTAAACTTTGATCCTTTACCAAGCTAACCGTATAATGACTATTCTCTCTCTCTCTCTCTCTCTCTCTCTCTCTCTCTCTCTCTCTCTCTCTCTC